AATCAATTATGAATAAATAGTATTTGTAATGCACAACTCAATCTTTAAGAAAGTGGAATACTTAGAGTCTATGGTCACAGGAATTACAAATGGGTAGTTTAAGTGCAAGAGAAAGTTTCACATATTAAGGCCACTTCAGGACCAACGGATGGATTTGCCAAAATGACACAATCACATTGAAACCGAAAGAAACTTTGTTCCTTTTCAAAAGGGAAACCTGCAAATAAGAGGGCCCCAAAACTGATTTTCATCAACAGATTTGAAATGGTAGCACATGCTAGAAGCGTTACATTTCCTCCACCTGACGTTACTTTGGCCAAAGTACTTTCAGACTTCAGTAATTTGCTTGTTTTAAGATAAATCATAGCCCGGGATCAGAATATTTGTAGAAATTCCTTCCTGAAATGTCTAGTAACCTTTCATTGCATAATTAAAAGTCCTACTGTGTTTAACAGTAAAGATATTTTCATTATTAAAGAATGATAAATGTTTTTCTATGAAAGCTACTATTACTATGTTTGTTTAAACTTTGATGTTGAATAGAAAAAAACAAGTAAAATCTGTATTAAAACTGTAAAATAATCTCTTCATTGAAAAATAACTGTTTTTAATGGTTTTACACAAATAGAAACAATAATTAAGCATATATTACAAATTATTTTGCCTGATTTAGATATGAGTGATTTCAAATTGCTTCTTTTACAAATGTCCCCTGGTAATGTTCAGAAAGCTTAATAAATTTGAAAGTAGAGAAGAAATAAGCACATTTCTTTTTGGCTCTGGCCCTATCCAAGCTTTTAGAAGTTTTTCTGGGCCTTTTGTCAGTTTTCAAGAAGTCTTGGGCTTAAGACATGGCCCCTACGTGAGGTGAGGACAACTCCCCTTCCCTAATCACCATGGAAAAAAAGAAAAAAATAGTCTTGGAAGCCGAGATTGCTATAAATAATTCTAGCCATGACCCCTCAAACCTGTAAGGAACAGAAATTGTCGAGTGTACACTCCTGGTTGTTTCTCATTTTCCACTAGCCACTTTCAGTTTTAAGGTCCATTATCCAGTTGCCAGAAGACAACTGTTACTGAGATTAGATTCTAATATAGAACTAAGAGCTTATTTACAGTCTCATTTTGGGTCATTTAGAAAATCAAGTAAGTCAATCATCTTAAGTTAAACGGAGAAAGATAGAACAATCTCCAGCACCTTGAATTTTAGCAATTGTTGCATTTTCTCTATTAGTATTATTAATAACCTCCACTTATATAGTCCTTTGCAGTTTATAAAACATTTTCTCATCTTATTTGATTTCATTTTAAAGATTAGAGATTGGAAACTCCAATTCTGATAATATTATTTTATTGTACGAGTTCACAGGCGTAGTCAAATTGCAGGTCGTATCTTCCACCTGCTCTAATGTTCTTCAACCGAAAGAAGATACTCCGGCTGTCTCTCTTCCTGAAAAGAAAGAATAAATGTTGATGATTAATGGACAGAATTGCAGCCCTTACAGGAATCTACCTCACTTTTAGCTGCACCCTTCCTTCCTCATGCTTGCTGTTCCCGGTTATACCTAACTCTCAGAGTCCAAACCTAACCTCTCCCACAGAACTTTACCAGGTGAGGCATCGATGTCATTTTATTGGCAGTGAACCTGGCCCACAAACAGGCAGTTCTCCTAACTCAAGGACAGAATACGAACAAATGAGTGGCTTCCCGTTCATTCTCACCGACCAGCATTGGGTTTTGCAAACGCAGAAGTAAGTCACTAAGACCTGAGCCAAGTTTTGTCCTCCTTCCTCTGGTCTCAATCCTTTCTCTTCTTAATACAACGCACTCGAATCTCCTTCTGACGCCTGTTATCTTTAGGCTCCGGCCACATGTATTTCATCCCGAACCTTCTCCTGGGGCAGAAGGTTACTCAGGAACCTTCTGTGGAACCTCCTCTGTGGAACCCCAGACCCTGGGGTCTGAGAAGTCCCTTCAGGTGGATGGGGCAGGGAGGAAGCGCCTGGCCTGCAGGGGATACGGGCAGGGCAGCCTGAAGCGGGTTCAAATCCTGCGCCTGCTCTTGCGCCTCACGATGCTTAACCACTCTCTGAGCCTCAGTTTACTCATCTGTAAGGGGGACCTACTCTCGGTCTGTGAGGGTTAGACGAGCTCGTGCATGCCACGCACCTGGCTTGCTTGGTACCCTCGGAGTCACCTGAAAGTTAGTTCAACTCCCCTCCTGCCTCCGCCCCGGGGCCACGCTGGTTTGGGGAAAAAGTCGCCCTTAATGGTGAAGAGAGCCAGTTCCCTTCCGTTCAAAACCCAGCTCGCCAGTCACGTGCTCTCCGGAGAGGCCACTTGTTTGGGGAGGTGTGGTCTCCATCGGTGCCCTGCTGGTCAAACGGCGTCGGGGAGCGCCGAGAGGCCAGCGGGGGCCTGGCGGGGTCTGGAAACCACCTCCCCGCCGCCCGCGCAAAGTCCCGGGGCTGCAGCGCGCGCTCGGCCCGCCGGGGGGAGGACGTCACCGCGCGGTCGCGACACGCCCCCTTCCTGGCCCTGTGCTCCCCGCGCGCTCTTCGGCTCACACCCGGGCCGCGGAGCAGCAGCCTGGGCGCGGGGCGGCGACCGTGCGGGACCCCGAGCCTCCGCCAGGTGGTCGCCTGGCCGAGCCGGTTAACCCCGTTCTGGGCCCGGAAAGCGAAGCTGCTCAGGAAAGTTGCCGGACCCCCGAGCGCAGGTACGTGCGGGGCGGCGGGCGGGGTTGAGACGGTGGGGACTGTCCCTTTGTTGTTTATCCCCCAGGAGGGCGGCTTTAACCAGGAGGTCTTGGGGTGCCGCACCCAAAGGCATCGCCCGCCGCTGCGGATGGCTCGCATCACGGGCGCACGCTCACGGTGTGCTAGGGAGCCCCCCCAAATTACAGACAGCGTGACCCTAGCTTTATAAAATACATGAATATTCATAAATGAGGGGGGCACCGAAAGGAAATACTGGAGATGGGGGGGGAGGTGTCTTCTTTGTACTTTGATGCCCTTCGCAAAGTTTCTGTAATCAGAAAACAAAAGAATGCCATCCGCGCAGCGGTGGCCGGGACCCGCCTGCGCGCTCCGGTCGGTTCCTCCGCAGAAATGCGGTGACCCGTGTGTTCTGGCACTTCCCCAAGCTTTCGAGTTGAAAGGAGGACTTTACACGTCCGCTGGGACCTCACGGGGGGCGTCCGCAGCCGCCGGGAGGTGGGACTGTGCGCGTCTGGGTGTCAGGAGGATGGGGCGGACGGGGAGAAAGAAGACACCCGCGCTGAAAAACGCCCAGCTTTTTCCTAAGGTTGTCCTCGTGCTGTGTTTGGTTTTCTCCTTTTTTTTTTTTTGCAAGACCTGTGACTTTAGTAAGTATTGATTCTGCTGAACAGCTCTCTCCATAACAGAGTTCACAAATGTCTTGGAAGCCACACTGCAGGGTGACACTATTGACAGGGGCGAGGCAGGAGGTTAACCGTGTCTTGCTCTGCTTCCAAGTTCCTCTTCCCCTCCTGTTAGCGCAGCGTTTGCTGTCTGCGAGGCAGAAAACCAAGTGGTAAAAACGGAAACTTCGAACTTGCAAGCATGCAAAGACATACTCTCTCTTGAGAACATCGGTGGGGGGAGCCGGGAGGGGGAATGGGGCAGGAAATGAAAGTAAAAGTGTTAGAGGGGTACCTTGCCTAATACATTGCCCGGAACAAACTCCACTATTACCGGCAGTCAATCGTGTTTTAAAAAACAAAGCATGAGAAATCTTGTGGGCATGCATGACCACCCAGGGGCACCAAACTTTCTGTTACACTGCTCAGACACCTGGCTCCTTTTAGGAAAAATATCTCTATGTATTTTGGTTCATGACATCTGAAGGCCAAACACCCTTCTGCAAGGCGAGGGTGACATGTCTCTACACTGGCTTTGCAGGACCTTACAGCTCATGTGTGTGCATGTGTGCGTGTGTGTGTGTGTGTGTGTGTGTGTGTGTATGTGTGTGGCAGGGCAGGGCTGGGAGGTGGCGGTGGTGTTTGCAGGTAGCACCTCTACACATACCCCCTCTTCCCTCCCCTGAGAGGACTTAGAAGCCTTCCCTTGAATCTAACCCTTCTCTTGCCCGCTCTCGGCCCCCCAGGACGTGTATACTTCCTGGTGTCTCCCACAGAGCTGGACACTCAAGAATGCGGCACCCACGCCTTCTGTGCTGTGCTTTCAGAGGCAAAGCGCCTGGTGGCCGCACTTGTTTTTATTTCTATATTTATTTATCTATTACAGTTCCTTTGTTAATACAGATGTTACTGTTTGTCAGACATCATCAGCGTTTTACAACTTTTTAACGTCACGTATCACAGTTTACCACTTTGATGATACTTCGCTAAGCTTCAGCTCCATTCAATTTCATAAATATGAGATGGTTTGTGATTTTGTAAAGAAAATATTTACTAAATGTTTGAATGGATATCAAGTACACAAGGTATAAAATTCCAAAGGTACCGAATGTGCAGTGAAAAATAACTCTCCTTCCTACTCCTGGACCCCAGTTTCTCACTCCAGAAATAACCGCTGTTATCACTATATAACCTCATTCTTCTTCAGTTTCTTTGATAACTTATAACTAATAGATTTCAAAAAGCCGTTTTCAGCAACTGCACAACAGTAATTTCTTTTTAAATCTACCAATTTTAAATGTATTATTTCAGTTATTTGTTAGTTTCTGTCTTTTCTGTTGTTCTGCCCACCACTCTGAAATGCCAGGGATTCAGGCCACTTTGCAGAGGGACCTTGTGGCTTTGGGGTTTAACAGATCGATTAGTTTCTAAGTTCCTTGAGGTCAGAGACTGTGATTTGTTCAACTTTGGTGCTTTCCAAACAACCTGCCGCAATTACTGCCAAGTACTAGGTCCATGCTAACATTTATAGAGCCAGGCTTTAGGAAGAACTGATGTTCACAGTAACCTGGTGCTTCAGAGATTCTATGAGGCAGCACAAACCGAGTATTTCCCTCCCAAGCCTAGAGTCTAGGTTGGTGTCCTGCTGGCTGTAGTACACACACCTCGACGGCCCCTTCTCTACAGGTCAACTTGTGTAGTTTGTCAAGTAACTGGTGACCAAGGAGGCAGTGTTTGCAATGGTTAAGGAGTGCATTAGCGTTTGAATCCTGTCTTTGACACTGGATTTGTGATCTGGGCTGGTTATTTAGACCCCTTATTCAGTTCCCTCATCTGTGAAGGGGTGATTCTTAGGGATTTTTGTTTCAATAGATTTAGGGGGTGCAAATGGTTTTTTGCTACATGGATGAATTATATAGTGGTGAAGTCAGGGCTTTTAGCCTACCTGTCACCTGAATAGTGTACACTGTACCCAATAAGTAATTTTTTATTTTTTATTTTATTTTATTTTTGAGACAGAGTCTCACTGTGTTACCCGGGCTAGAGTGCCGTGGCATCAGCCT